AGAGAGAGAGAGAGAGAGAGAGAGAGAGAGAGATTTCTAACACATTGAGAGAGAGAGAGACTCCAAACAGATAGAGAGAGAGAGAGGGAAGTGGTTTGAATGGATTAAAGAACATAAGAAGCCTAAGGAATCAGACCCACAATCGCATTTTCATTAGGCCTAGAGATAGAGAGAGAGAGAAGAAGACCCAGTTGTTTGTAAAGCCTTTTTAGAGAGAGAAGGGGGTTGAGTAGTTGTTGAAGCGTGAGAGATTGAGCGTGACTAAGTAGTTGCTGAAGTTACAGGCTTAGAGAGAGTGGGTGAGTCTTTGGAGGCTTTTGCTTAGAGAGAGGAGAGAGAGGGTATTCAATGGAGAGAGATAAAGAGATGAAACAGTCCAAATTCAAGAGGATTTGCGTCTTCTGTGGAAGTAGCCAGGGGAAGAAGAGTAGCTACCAAGCTGCAGCTGTGGAACTTGGCAATGAACTGGTAGAGTGATGCTTTCTCTCTCTATTTGCATGATGTTTTCTCTCTCTATTTGCATGATGTTTTCTCTCTCTATGCTTCGTTTTTTCACATTTCCTTTTTATGGGTTAGATGCTTAATTAGGAATCGGGTGTCCTGTTTTGTGGTTTTTCTCTCATTTTTTATTCTTTTTTAACTGTTTCTCTCTCTGTAATTTGTGGGGGGAGAAGCAAGCCACCATTTGAGCGCAAGAGTTTCGGTGTGGTGTGGAAAAACAGGGTCCTCAAGCTTCTTTTTTTGGGATTCCTCTGTTTTATCCATTAGAGATAATGTGTGGTATCTGCGTCATGTTCCTTTGAGATTTTTATATTGCTATAGAGAGAAAATGTCTTTCTCACTCTACTTTTTCCCAAAACAATAGAGATTTCCTCCTTTCATAGTTCCGCCTATGTCTCTCTAGAGATCATGTTTAATGGCTTCTCACGAGTGTGGAGAGATGAATAAAATTGGGTTATCATATATTTAATTGGGTTTCTTATCGGCAAGGCTCTCTCATTGGAAAGTCGAGTTCTCTCTCTAAAACTAAGCTTTCTCTTCTGATTTTTTCAGGTATCAATGAACATTGATCTGGTGTATGGTGGTGGAAGCGTTGGGCTCATGGGCCTCGTCTCTCAGGCCGTACATGAAGGTGGTCGCCACGTTATTGGGTGAGTTTTTAACCATATTTAGAGAGAGAGAGCTCAAACTTTGTGATGAGAGAGAGTCTTTGTGATGGGAAAGAGAGTATTCTCAAACTTTGTGAGGCTTTCACCCCAACTAATTTAGAGAGAGAAAGCTTCTAATATTCAGGCTAGAGAGAGAGGGCTCAAACTTTGTTATTTTAGCGAGAGAGAGTTCGGTTAAGGCAACTCATTTTTGTCATGTAATTGTCCTCTGCAGAGTTATTCCCAAGACGCTCATGCCTCGAGAGGTATGTCTCGATCTCTCTCTGCTAACTAAAGTCTTTGAGCTTTTCACACTGCAATTTCTGCTACTCCTTTCTCTCTCTTGAGTCTTTTTCTATTTCCTTTCTCTCTCTAGGCCAACACTCGTAGAGAGAGTGTGTGTGCTTTTTCTGGAAAACGAAGCTTTTCAATGGCATTTTACCATCATTTGAGCATACCATTTCATGGAAAAGTTAAAAGGCTTTTCTCTAAATATTGCAGCTTTAAGAAGCCAAATATTTTCTCTCTCTCACACATCAGCAGTTTATCAACCGTCTCTCTCTACCCTGTCTTTTCTCTCTCTCTGATTAGCAGTTTGGCAACTCACTCTCTCTCTCTCTCTCGCTCTCTCTAAAGGACCCATGTACGTGTTTTCACCTTTTCATTAATCTGACATCTCTCTTAGAAAATTGAAATTTACGAATAATATCTTTCTCCATTTGTCACTTTCTCTCTCTACTTTGCAGATAACTGGGGAGACAGTGGGGGAGGTGAAGGCCGTTGCAGACATGCACCAAAGGAAAGCAGAGATGGCTCGGCAATCCGATGCATTCATTGCCTTACCGGGTTTGAACTCTCTCTCTCTCTCTCTCTCTCTCTCTCTCTAGAATAATATGTTCTCTCTCTAGGTTAGTGTGTGCTCTCAATTTTCATTCTCTCTCTAGATTCTCTCTTATTCTCTCTCTAGGTTAGTTTTTCTCTCAAACTAATTTATGTGCTCTCTCTATGTCCAGGCTAGCGTATGCTCTAAACTCTCTTTCCCTCTCTAGGTTGGTGTTTGATATCAAAACTCTCTCTCTCTAAATAATCTCTCTCTTAATTTCCTAATTTTTTTTGGTGAAAAAGACCACCTGCCCTTCTCTTTTATTTCAATGCCCAAAACTCCCCTGATTGGTGTTGTATGTACAAAACCATGTACACGTTTACACAATGGTCATCAGAAGATAGTTGATCTCCACCTTCCATCATTTGAATTCGACCGTCGTCGATGCCCCTATAGAACAGCATAATTTGCATTTACGCCGTAAATACGACGTAAGCGCATTTATGTCATTTTACAAATAAAGTTTGCAATTGCCTCTCATGATCAGGGGCATTGTAGGCATTTTAGTCATTCCTATGCAATGTGAGCTTTGGGTTTTTTTTTTTTGTTTTGGTAATTGTAACATCTAAAGAGAGAGGCGGGGAAGAAGAGGTTTTCCAGTGGATAATTTCTAGAGGGATGGACAGCAGGGTCATTTTAGTCTTTTTTTATCTGGGGTTTTGGCATCGATGAAATGGTAATTTGAGAATGAGAGGAGGGGTATTTTAGTCATTTGTCCATGAGTGTTGGGTTAAACTTAATAGCAATTTTTAGTAGAGAGAGAGAGATAAAAGGGTTACTTTAGTTATTTTTCTATAAGGGTTTCGTAATGTAGTGATGTTTAGAGAGAGAAAACAGGTCTATTTTAGCCACTTTTCAGTTGCGTATTGGACGCTTCTGTAGTACTGTCTAGAGAGAGAAAGAGAGAGTGGTGCCCTCTCGAGTGGCGTTTTCAAGGACTCACAAAAGTCATATGCCATGAAAGCAACCTTCCAAAGCCCTAGATTTCATTACTTCCCCTTGTTTTGGCTCATTTATGGCCAAAACCCTACAAATTCTAGGGTTTGGGGTTTCCCTAAACCCATGTCCACTCCTAGTATTACAGGCCCTAAAAACATGATAAGAAAGTAACAGTTCATAACCATCGCTCTGACCCATTTTCCTGATAAGGAAATGGGGGCCGTAAAATTAAAAAATAAATAATAAATAAAGTAAACCCTAATGATTACAAGGCCCTAAAAAAATATATATATATATATATATATATATATATATATATAGAGAGAGAGAGAGATTAATTACACTGAAGCATAACTGAATATGACAGTCAGTTTGTCACTGTTATCTGGTGTTTTTAACATTTAGTGCCCCCTTCTGAAAAACGGAAAAAAATGGTGGAAAGAAAGAAAAGCCAATATAAACTCTTTTTTTCTTTTTCTTTTTTTTAATTACCCAAAAAATACTATTTTTTTTTTTCTCTAAGAAGTCAATATCTAACACAAGTTTTTATTATTGGAAAATACTCATATGGTAATGGACAAGTGGATCCAAATTTTCACATTTGAAAAAAAGACTATAGACCTGAGGGAGTAAGTGTGTAGCTTACTCCTGCAGGAGTACACGTTTTTCCTAGCCCTTCTTTGGCATTGGGGCTAATTAGTTTTAAAACAAAGGAATAAAGGACAATGGATAATAATTAGTGGTTAGTGTTTTAGTGGTGTGCATTAATCAAGAAAAGACCTCCTCCTTTAGGGGGTAATGGTCAATTTAGAAAAATGGCCCCTAGGGTTATTATTATCTAGGAATGTATAACATAGTTTACACGTGTATGCATAGGCAGGCCATCCACAGTCCATTGTGGAGATGGATGGTAGATATGAACTAATGGATTGACATGAAAGACATTTTATCCGGTCATCCTTTCTTAGAAGGTATGTCCGGATAGTCATAAAAGTTAGATGGTTTATGATAGAGTTGTCATTCATAGCGAATGGGACTGGGTCATGGTGGTGGTACCACCTGAGCCTCTGTTAAAGATCTTAACCTTCGTCTTCACAAATAGATTAAAAAATTTACTATAACTTACCCATAAAAAGAAAAAATGGCACTACAAAGGTTAGATGTAACTTTCATAAAACTTGTGACAATGAGAAAAATGAGTGCGCTCACGTTCTCACTTAAAAAGCTAAAATATTACATGATCTAGTGACCAATATAAAAGAAAACAAATAAAATTGATATGCAGTTTAAGATGTCCAATTTTTGGACAATAGACCTAATGTTTAGGAACTCAAACTCTTTTTTCTTTTAAAGAAATTGTCATATATTGATCTAATGTCGGTCCAAATTTTCAGAGCAATAAACTTCTAAGCAGGTCATTTCCCCGTGGGCGCAAGTGTACAATGTGCTCTTATGGGAGTACACCATGCAAGCTCTTTCTAAAGAATAGCTAACTCCATGCTAATGTTTTTAGCTAATTATATTTAAGCGATGACTTCTATATGATGCTATTAATATGAATTAATTTTCAAAAAATTGAATTACCAATGGTCTTTTGAGCAGGTGGTTATGGAACACTTGAAGAACTGCTGGAGGTTATAACGTGGGCCCAACTAGGCATCCATGATAAACCGGTAATTATTTTTAGATTATCTGATTATGCAAAAAGTTGATGAATTTTTAATTTCGGTTCTAAGAGTTTCTAATTTCCAGTTTTGGTTTTGGTTTCTTAAGATAATTAGATGGAAATTTTTGGAAGTTATCACAAGTTCCCCCACAAAAAGAAAAGATCACTTTTTTTTGTAAATTTTTGTTGAATTGTTTTGAATTTTCCAGTTTTGGCACGAGAAAAGGTTACTCTTAACCATTCTATCATTTTTCTTGATCTTCTTGTCAATTGGTTATTCATATTTAATATTGAGATTTTGTTCTTTCAGTCATTGCGTTTTCAATTTTTTCACCAAGATCTAATGCAAATTATGATTGCAATTCAGTGGAATTTTAATGGAAGATCGAGTTGAAGTATGGTACAATAAGAAACTGATTTTTTATGCATGGATCTCAAACTCGAAATTGATTGCTAAGGTGGCCTATGTTTCTTAACATTCATGTAATTTCGCTGAAAATTTGAATTTTTTCTCTTTTTATCTCAACCACACATAGAACATGCCAAGTGAAGCACCATTATAGTGACTGAAAAAGTAGCTGACTTGGGGTCAGACACACCGAGTCACTTGAGTGAGTCTGAACCAAGCCAAAAATTGCCTTTATACTTTTTACTGAGAATTGGCCAGAGCTGATATCCAACTCGGCCTAGTGGGACTCTGGCTCAGGAGTCCGGGTTTTCAAACACTGTGAAGTCCTAATATGCTTTACTTACCAATGATCTAGGTGGGGCTACTTAATGTCGATGGTTATTACAATTCGCTGCTCTCGTTCATCGACAAGGCTGTCGAGGAAGGTTTCATCAACCCAGCCGCACGCCACATTATCGTCTCTGCCCCCACAGCCAAAGAATTAGTCAAAAAGCTAGAGGTAATCCCTTTTTTCATATATCCTATGCCAATAAATGCACATTCTACAGGGTAATTGCCGTCTTTGGTTTGTTGGTTGAGTAGGCATTCCTAATCCCCATGATATACTACTGCTGATCTTGCTTTGTGTTGCTGCAACAACTAACTCCTTTGTTCTCTGTGTCCTTTCCTCTGTTTTTATTGGTCAAATTGAATCAAATATATACAAAGTTACTATAGTTCTTGTTCCCTATGCTACTAAAACTCCTCTAGGGTCATGGTGGAGATCTTTTGGAAAAAAAACTTTCACAGCGGACCACCACTTTCTGTGGTTGGTTCATGGGAAAGTGGGTCTGCAATTGTCAAAGTACATTTCAATTATGGGAAAACAAATACAAACCTAAAGAGGCACGTGCCCACTTTCGCATGGGCAGGATGTTGAGTGTGTGAAAGTTCTCTCTAGGAGAGAACTTCCACACAGAGGAAACGGCCCCGGATCCTTTGTTCTATTTTTCCTTTTTTCTATGTTTGAGGGGATAAAATGTGATCAAATTCATGCAAAAGTATTTATAAGCTTTCTCTGCTTGTGATGTAGGAATACTTCCCTCGCCATGAAGGAGTTGCTTCAAAATTGAGCTGGGAAATGGAGCAATTGGGCTATTCAACTAAGTGTGAGATTTCTAGGTAGATGGTGAATGGATGGGACAGATGGAATTTTGGTGCCCAAAGATGGAGATTTAAAGAGCAACAAGGAATGTTTTCTTGGGTCTCAAGGATCCAGAATTTTTTGTTTGTAAAGTAACAATAGGAGAAATCCCTCAATAGATGTAACTCTCACTTTCTTTTCATGATATTTGGTATCAATATCACTACCTTCTTTTTCTTCTTCTTCTTCTTTGAATGTTCACTTTCTTCTTGTTCTTTTTCTTTAATGATTAAAAAATCGCCGAGTTTGACTTACGGAGGTGGCTCAAATCGGGATGAAGCATGTTATGGAGATAAAATCTCAAAATAGGCCAAGTCTCTGATTTTAAGTAGTTTTAAAGAAATTATTATTTCTTTTTTGTTGGAAATTCTTCAATACGACTAGGTGACTCGGGTCCAGAAACCTTAGGAGTTCCCTACCCGAATCCGCCGTCTTAATCATTGGTACAAAAATGTCGCACCGCACCCGTAAACTTAAAAATCACAATGAGCCCATGTTCCTTGAAAATCTTCCATACACTTTTCTCCCCTGATGATTTTTATCCAAGATAACAGTAAATTGATAGCTTTCTCTCAAAAAACTTATTGAAATACAGTGATAGGTGCCTCTCCTTCTATTGTCATTTGATCCTTAAGGTACACAGAAGAAATATTACACCCCATAAGGGGGCCAAAAATGATGGGCACACTGTGCTACCACGGGAGCAATTTGTGCATTTGCTCCCTTGGGCAGAAAACCGCTTGAGAAAGTTTTTCTTACTCAAATTTTGGGATCCTAACTACTCTGTGAGTAATTTATTTAAGAAAGGATTTTTTCTTAAACATCTGGCGTCTAAAACTTGGGCGTTCTGTAATCAATTCTAGGTTGTGATTTTAGCAAATGTACTTATTGTAATACCAGGAGCATATAACCTCGTAAGATGGGAATTAGCCTTCTCTCCTTTAAAAAAATATCATAAACAGTGTAGGAAAAATTGAAGTGGTTACGCGGGACTAGCCTGTAACCCGGTTGGCTCAACCGGTCTAACCGGGCAAATCCTGAGTGGTCAAAAAATTGGAAAAATAAATAAATAAATAAATCTAACAATTTATTTAAAATATATTTAAAAAATGATTAAACAAAGCATCCAAAGTTGAAAATTAATTAAAAAAATATATATATTTTAAAGAATTGATTTGTGCTCAAAGATATTTTTAAAAAATTTCAAAAAGATGGAAAATGTAAAAATAAGTATTAATGGATAAAAAAATTTCCAATCTTGACCAAAATAATAAAAACAATTAAAAAATGTATAAACAAAATCCCTTATTTTTGGGATTTTATTTATACTTTTTTGAATTTTTTTTAAAAAATATCCAGCCTATTCACTAAAACTGGCTGAAATTCTTGCATGCCTCTAATGTTTGGTTCCATCCATTTTGCTCCTTTGTGATACTTTTATGAGTTATAGTAGTTCACCGGTAAAGATATCTTAATAGATTCAAGATATTAGGCGCCCCACCCAAACTGCCTACATAGAATTTGCTCAACCATCAATGACAATTTATAAATAGATTCAAGATATTACATTACGGCGCCCCGACCAAACTACCTACATAGAATTTGCTTGGCTTGTTTATGTGGAGCACATTGTACACTTACTCAAGCAGAATAGTTCTTTAGAGAGTTTCTTAGATCTGAAAGTTTGGTACAAACTATAGAATTGTTAAATAGGTATAGTCTTTAATAAACGATAAATAAGATGACTTCCTAAACACTTATATTTAGTTATTTAGAAACGGTTATCTGTTCAACTTTAGGCATGTGTGTTTTTTTGGGACATTGAGTGCTTGCAAATGAGAGATATATGTTTTATAGTGGTTTTTTTAGGTGCATTTTACTTCTATTATATGGAGTTGATATTTTATATAAACTAGTTTTTTATTACTCTGACAAGCCAACTCAGATTCGCTCAAGTAACTTAGATTCACCAGGCAAGACTGAGATCCAACTCAGGGATCTTCAACAAATTATAAACAGTTTATTTATAATATGTTTTTTAAGTTTTTTTAATTTTTTTAAAGATTGAAAAGTGTTTTGTGTTGGGTTTATGTGACATTTAAATGCCTTATGAGAGCTTGTATGAGCATTTTATATAGTGAAATATAAACTCAGTGGGAATGTGGTCTTTTTGTGGACCATACTAGGTAAATGTTATTTGTTGATACTCGGACTAGACTCGACGAGCTAAACCAACTGAGGTTTGGAAAAACCCAAGATACCTGGGCATAGGGATCTACCAAGAATGGTTTAGTGGGTTATCCATTGATGAGATCAGAGTATGCCTAGATGAGAGTCAAGGGACTTGGTGGCCCTTGTGTGTGATGAATAGCCTTTAGAGACAGGGCTAAAATATCATCGTTATATCATCACACGACATATACATAGATAGCAATTTTGGGATTCGTCAATGAGGGTGAAGCGTGTATATGTGCGAGATATTACCCCTATACACCATAGAGTCATGGTTGCATCATAGTTTGGAGGACTATGATTTTTGTCTCTAAGGGATAACCTGAAATCCATAAACTGGGATTGTGTCCCCTAGTCTATTAACTGACTTTGGTGGTCCAATCATGAACCCCTGCAGTGGATTGTGGGTCATGAGAACTGCTGGGTTAGTTTGAGAAAGCTAGGCGGATCGTGATTCGCAGTTGAAGGTGGAGTCCTCCCATATATTGATAATTTGGTAGATCTAACGGAACTGATTCCCGTCAAAATTAATTAATTTTAATTAATTTTATGTTATGTATTTTTTAGAATGTTTATTTGAATTTTTGTGAATCTTGATATTTTATTTTTTTCATTTGAATTTATAAATTAAAAAAATTAATCTTTCAATGTTTTAAATAAAATATAAGATTTAAAAAAATTCTAAATTTGAAATAAAATATTTGGGACCTTCATTAAATATAGGGCCAAAAATTTAAAAAGATGTTGATTAGGTGGGCCCCACATGTGGCGACCAAAAGGGTGGCACGCACCACCCATTCACATAACTTGAAAAGAATGTTTATCGTCTTGGTTGGTTTATTTTTTTTAGGTATATCCAACTTATGTGATAAGGTTGAATATTTGAAATATTTATTAATTCTTTGAATCAAGATTGATTGATCAAATAATTAAGGATTTAATATATTAAAATATAAACTTTTCTTATTTGATGGGAATACATTTAACTTGAGAAGAATGTTTATCCTCTTGGTTGACTTATTTTTTTTAGGTATTGCCAACTTATGTGATAAGGTAGAATATTTGAGATATTTACTAATTCTTTTAATCAAGATTGATTGATCAAATAATTAAGGATTGGATATATTAAAATATAAACTTTTATTATTTAATGGAAATAGATTTATGAAAGGGAGGATAAGGTTCTAGCTCATCTATTTAAATGTTGATGGTAGATCAAAGAGATTGATGACTCAAATCTCTCACCCCACAAGTCTCTTTAAATTGACAGTTGAGATTTAACCCTACGAATTGAGGTAAAATCTATGACATAAAAAAATCTATAAAATGAGGTGTTTTTTCATGAGGTACTGTAATAATCCTAAATTTTTTTTTTTAAAAAAAAAAAAAACTTTTAATAAGTGATGGTCCCTATGAGCATGATGGTCCTTAGGGACGATCACTACTTTCAAAAGCTTTTACCTGGTTTAAGCTTTGGCTCTTGCCACGTCCTTTAGTGGACGTGGGCTTTAAGCGTTTAAGATGTAACTTAATAAAAGATTATAATAAGGTGTCGTAAATAATTTAAATAGGAGAAGTGAGGACTCTCACCCTAGAAAATTTTGAGATCTCTCTCTTTCTAATCGAAAAGCAGTGAGCTCTTTCTCTCTCCAGCCAAATTTTTATCGAAAGCTCCATCTCAAATATTTTAGGTAAGTGACTTCATTATCTTGAAAAATAATCCGTTTTTTAAAAAAAAAAAAAATGAAAATGAAATGAAGTAATTATTTCTGCTTATTATCATGAATTTTAGGTGCGATAAATTTCATGCGCAAGTGACCTCATTATTTTGAAAAATAATCTTTTTTAATAAAATTGTGATATTTTATCTATGTTAGAAATTTTAAATGCTGTAAATTCTTAGAAAATTAAATTTATTTATTTATTTTGCTTGTCTATTGTTAGAAAATTTTAGATACTGTAAAATTATTAGAAATAAATGTGATATTTCTGCTTTTAGAAAAATTGTGAGATTTCTTTATACTGTTTTTGAATATTTAGACATTGTAAATTTCATGTGCAAATGACTGCCTTATTATTTGAAAACTGATATTTTTGCAATTGATAATAGCATTGTCTGTGAAATGTTTATTTGCGAATTGACATCCCATAAATTGTAATGATTCCGTATTCATGAATTTCTATAAGAGTTTTTCTATACATATTAGATTGGTAATTATGCTAGAATGTTTTTACGAACTGCTACCTTTCTAAATTTGAGCCCAGAATATTTGACTGGTTATATTTTGAAGTATTAGTGAAAGTGATTGTTATTAATGGTTTCAGTGAAATTCATATTAATAATTCCAGTGATATGTTGAGTACATGATATTGCTGCTTTCGAATGTTTAAAGAGATTTAGAAATACTTTAAGTATGCAAGTGGACTCATCCGGTTCGTAGGTGAGGTATAAGTGAACCTATCTGGTACGCAGGTAGGGATTAAGTGGACTCATCCACTACGCTGATGAGATATAAGTGGACCTGCAGGGATTAAATGGACCTATCTAGGACGTCGATAGGGATTAAGTGGTTTGATCAGGACGCTGATGGGGTATATAGGTGACCTACTTGGGATGCGAGTAGGGTAAATTGTGAAATCATTTGAATTATGCACTGCTGTTAAAATGTTATATGTATTTCTATTATTCGGATTATATTTAATTATGCATTTTTTAAAGTGAAACTGTTAATGCATTTGTGTTAATAGATCCCCTTTTTAAAATGTTGATAACTTTCAACCATGATTATTTTTAGGATTATGATGATCACTTACGGAGTAGCCAAACTCATCAAATTATGGTAAACATTTTTTTAGGATAACTGCAGTTTCATTTTGAGTGCTCGTCAGTATCAACTCTTGAAGATATTGTAGTTGTGCTTAAACTTTATTTTGTTACTTTGTAAGAATTCGCCACTGTAAATCTGTCCTATCAAGAGATGTATATATGTTTTGACTGTCACATCTCAGGAATATCAGTATTGTAAATTCTTAGGGTGTGACAGATACGTATTCTCTTCTCTCTCTTTAACAATTCTCACTCTCCTTATCCAAAATTTTATCTATCTCTAAGTTGCTCTAAGTTGCACTATGTTTTGGTGGCACGCACCACTTCTGCTATTTATGGGTGGCAAAGGGGTGGAACCCCTTGCTAGTAGATCTCTCCATCTCCCTTCATATTCATCTCTCATATCTCTAAAATGAAGTTAAAAGACTTGATCAAGATTCAGTCATTGAATAGATTTTTGCTATAGTAGGGAAATCAACATACTGATCATAGATCCCGAGCACCATCGAAAGGAGGAGACTCGGTGTGGGGTGTACTAAACCCGGTTGAGGTAGTCTCCAACAATTTTACATTTTTAAATATTTACTGCTCTTCCCATAAAGTAATAAAGTCTACTTTTGTTTTTTGAATAAATAAGTGTATTTGGAGAGGTAACAATTGATAAACAATTTTATTTTATTTTATTTATTTCAAGAGTGATTTGATTATAATTGGGCATTGTAAGTGATATTGTCGGGGTAGAGGTAAAGAATTTTTTTAAAATATATATACCGTGTTTTATCATAAAGTCCTTTCATTTTTATCATTACTATTTAGTTTTACATTTTTTTTCTTTTTTGGATTATTTCTAAAGGAAAAAGTTTATATACAGCTGAGGTTCTAAACAATCAAATTAGAGCCCACCTCAAAATTTCACTAGAAGATGTTGTTTTGATGTCCAAATATTCTCAAATTGATCACCTCGGCATCAAAATACATGGACATGATAAAAAAATCGGATTTCAAGTTTTCAAAATAGTATATCTTGTAATATATTTTTGGACCATCAATTTTCAAGATTTTCAAGTTTTCATGGATCTGCTCGATCTACACTATTTTTGAAACTTTTGAATTTTATAATTAAATATAAAAATATATTTTAAGGTTAGCACAAAGATTTCTAACATCGAAACCACATTTCTCGATACTATTTGAAGCTGTGCTTTACTTTGAATATTTAGAACCTCAACTCTATACAAACTGTGCCCACTTTTAAAATACCCCTATACGAATTTAATGTTTCAAAATCAATTTTTTAACTTCGTTTAGATTTTTTTGATTCATTTTACTTCAAACATTTTTTTTTTTTTTGGAGTCTTTTATCTTTTTTTTAATACTTTTTGGCTTCACGGAATTCAATTCAACTCACACCATATGTTACTCGGACTCGGGCCGAGTACTCATATCGGTTGGGCCTAGTACTAGTTGGGCCTAGTACTAGGCCCGAGTCTGTCTTTCCAACATTGGTATAAACTCCATCCGCGCAGCTTTCGCGATTATCAAGGTGATTTGAGTAAGATATCTATGCTCCCTTGGGAGGAGCAACTAATCCATTTACTCCTAGAAGGAAATGATCTACTTGGGAGGGTTTTTTTTTTGGTGCAGTTGGCATATGGTTGCATTCGCAGTTGTAGAGGTACGGTACGCCTTCAAATTTTATCATGATATATAATTTTGATGTAAACTGTTCTTAGGATTATCTCAAAATCTATTTTTATATCTAATTATAAAGTTTTAAATTTAAAAAATGGTTAAAATCAAGTAGATTTATAAACATATGAAAATCTTGAAAATGGACGTTGCAGATAATATGTTGTAAAATGTACTATTTTTGAGACTTAAATCTTTTTATTTTTCATGGTCCTACATATCGATGCCAAGATGATAAATCAGAAGGCTTTTCAACATTAAAACTACCTTTTCTGATGGATTTTTGAGGTGCATCCGTAGTTCTACATTATAAGGTTGTATCCTTATATAAACTATTTCCTTTTTTATTTATGTTTTTTTGAAATTATTGGTTCAGACATTTAAGTTCCCAATAAGATACTTCCTTAGGTTATGTCAGGTCCTGTGTCTCATATCACTTTGTTAATACCTTATGCGTTGCAACACTCCAAAAAGTTACCTTTGGACTATGAGAAAGAAGGAAGAGAGGAGGAGTGGATCTGCTAATTCCTTGAAATAGTCTTTACTTAGAGGATTGTCTCAAAATGAATAATTTATTGTCGGAGTGAAGTATTAATATAATTTGAAGAAGTGGTAAGGCTAGTGTAATAGATATATTTGGTAATTTTACGATTAAACAAAAGGATTTGCAAATAAAAGCATTAATGCTACCACCAATTCGTAAATTGTTAAAGCTTCCATAAAAGCTAAGCTAAGCAATAAAGTACCTCATATTTTACCCTCTACTTCTGGTTGTCTCGTGATACCCTCTATGGCTTGACCCGCAATACCTTGACCGACTATGGGTCCAATAAAAGCAAGTCCTACGACCAATCCAACAACAATAAATCCAGGGGATTGATAGTAAGCTCTTTGTACAAAAATTAAAAAATGGTTAATGATACAACCATATAAATATTGAAAAAAAAGAAAAGATTTTGATAAATGAAACACCTATTAAAAAATTGATCTATACCTAGTCTTAGGAAGTGGTTTTTTTTTTTTCATGTTGTCTCAAGATGCGTATTTAGCATGCCCCAAATAATTAGAAAAAGACTACCATGATGTTGATGATTATGTTTCAAGATGTGAATATTTAATTTTATCTTTTCATTTGCTATGTCGAGTAAGTCCCATCTATAAAGTTTGAGGTCATAAATGCATAGAAAAAGTTTATATCAAGGTACACCTTAAAATGTTGGATTACGATACACCTCATAATTTCATCATGAAAGGTTGTTTTGATATTGGAAAACCCTCTAATTGATCATTTCGACATCAAGATACATGGATATGAAAAGATAAAGAGATTTTGAGTCCTAACAATAGTTTATCTCACAACACATTATCTGGACCCTCCATTTTCAAAATTTATAAGTATTTATAGATGTACTTGTTTTGAACCATTTTTAGAATTTAAGATTTTATAATTAGAGATGAAAATAGAGTTTCAAGCCATAAAATTTGTTTACACCAAAATTATATTTATAATAAAATTTGGACTCAGTTTCTATATGGCCAAGACCGCATATGTATAAATGTGGGCCTATTAATAAATCTATTTTTGAGATAGAATTTTGGACTTAATTTTTAAAGACATGTAATCTCTAACATGGAGATCATAAATATGAATAAATAAATAAATTTTTAAAATTAAAAATAATAATTTTAGTAAAAAAACATTTGGACCGTTAATTTTTATTATTTTTAGATAGAACACTAACATGCATCCAACTTTAAGATGGATGCTTACACTTTATGGATCGCATGTGTAGTCACGCAATCCAGCCCGCATGAAACAATTTTCAATAAAATTTCGATGTGCGCTGTAATTTGATTGTTTAAGGTTGCAGCCTTATACAAACCACAGCGTATAAAGGGCAAGACCAATCAGTGCACGTCCCTCTGGTTCGCTCACCACCTCTCTTGAGGAGGAAAACACTCACCGCCCCTCGGAGAGAAGAAAAACCCTAGAAACTCAACCGTCCATCTCTCTAACCCTGTCTCACTCAAAACCCTAGCAACTCAACCATCCATTGCCACAGGTCTACTCCCCTCGTTGCTCCCATTGCTGCAAGCTAAGGGCTCAGAGAAAGCTAGAGTGAGTCCTTTTTAATTTTTTTTATTTTTTAGAGCTCAAAAAATACAATCCCAGATCTAACTGAGATTTTATTTAGGGTTTAGTTTTTTTTTTTTGTCTGATTAAGCTCAAACAAGATTAACCCCAAGTCTACAGAGAGATTTTGTTTCTTTTTTTTTCCTGGCTACGCACAAAGAAGATTAACCCCAAGTCTGCAGAGACATTTCTGATTTATTGATGTTGTTCTTGTACTAAATTTATTTTTGATACTTCTCTTATTTTAACCCTCTCAGTTCATATAACTGTTATTTTTTGTTCTTTGTAATATTCATATGCAATCTAGTTCTTTTATATTCTATATTCTTTTTTCATGTCTCTTGCTCGTTGATTTCTCATAACATAAAAATTGCGGAAGTACTGTGATTGGGAACTTACTTTTAGTTTCACTTGGCTTAAGAATTCTGTGTGATTAACTCCACCCTCAATTTTGTTGAGGCTATATTGATGCCCTTTTTTGCTCCGTCCCATTGATCACAGACTAAAGGAACGTGTGCCGGCATTGAAGTACCTCAAATTCACCGAGTAAGTGCCCTAAAATCTTAACCCCTCTCGTTTTTAGATTGGGTTATTGGGTTTTGCCCTAATTTCCTGAGAGAGGTAAAAATCATCTTGAGTAAAAGAATAGAAATAGAAAATTGATGTAAACGCCAAAAAAAATAAAAATAAGAAGAAGGAATGGGAGAAGGGAGAAATTGACATTTTTGAAAAGCATTAAGACCACGCTTGAGTCTTAAAACCCACAAATCGCCCTATTTTTATTGTATCTTCAGTCCTCTCCTCCTTTAAACCTTCTTCTTCATCAATTAAACCTTCATCCCTCCCCTCCCTGCTCAATCTCAGTCAAAGGATTCATCCCTGATCCTCTTTCTTCTTTTTGGAAAAAGTTTTTATAAGTGCGAGGCTCTAAACAATCAAATTAGGGCGCACCTCAAAAATTTCATTAGAATAGGTTGTTTCAATGTCCAAATATCCTCAAATTGATCATCTTGACCTCAAGATGCATGGACATGAGGAAAAATGGATTTCAAGTTTTGGAAATAGTGCATCTCGTAATATAGTTTTGGACTCTCAAATTTCAAGATTTTCAAATTTTCCTAGATCTGCTTGGTCTACACTATTTTTAAAGCTTTAAATTTTATAATTAGAGATGAAAATGTATTTTACGGCTATCACAAAGATTTCTAGTATTGAAACCACATTTCTAGATACTATTTGAAGGTGCGCGTTTACTTTGATTGTTTAAAGCCTCGGCCTTTTAAAACTGCACCTTTTTTTTTCCTCTTAGTTATGGATTATTTGTATTTTTTTGGGGGTTTTATGCAATCAGGTGTTCTTTCCCTCTGCCATTTTTGTTTCTAAAAGCATTTTTTTTTCTACCCAACAAGCTAAATTCTCCGGAACTGCGGTTTGTTATTTTTTTTTTTGTGGTATTGCTTTTGCTCTCTGCAATTTTTGTTTGAAAATTTATTTGCCGAACTAGCGTCTCTGCTGAATCATCTGGGACCAGTTGATTTCGCCATTCACGATAGAGAAATGAGAGCCCTGTTGATTTCTCTAGCCATAAGGAAAGATAGTCAGTACCCAATTTTTTTCACCCTAATTTCATTTTCTTTTGCTTTATCAGTATGTTAAGAAATTCTTTTTTCTGTATTTTTTCCGGTGAATGATCCCAGCAGAAAAAAAAAGTTAATAACATTTCTGCAAAAAATTTCATCAAAGAACTTGGGAAAAGTTTTATTTATTAGATATATAGAAGGGTGAATAGGGAAAAACAAAATTCAAGTCCTTTATAAAAGAGAGATTAAGAGAGAGAACTAGGTTTATTTGATCTCTCTCTCTCTCTCGCTCGATAATCCTCGACCAACTAGATTTTCGGCCAAATTATGGCGAGATTCCAGCCTACTTCAACACAAGGTTAACTTTCTTATTTATTTCAATGTTTGCGATTCTACTTTGGGGTTTATAAAATTAAAAAGAAAAAGAAAAAGAAAATTTATATTGCCTTTTTGGTTATAGGAAATGACAAAATAGGGTTTTACAAATTTGGAGGTAGTTTTTTCAGTTTTGGTTGCAGTTTTACATTGTTTGGAAGGGCTTTTACAATTTTTGTAAATACCTCTCAAAATATTACTGGAATAT